ATTAGGCCTGTGGGGCTGCAGCCTGTGCCTGGGAGAGGAGACCACAATTCTCACTGCTTATGGAGGTGGGGGAAGTGTAGGGACCTTGGATCCCGACCTTGGGTCCTATTCCAACTCTGTCATTTTCCTCAGGAAAACCCCACAAGACTGAAGGGCTTGCTGCCCTACTGGGGCCACAGCTTCTGCCCCGCTCCACCTGCCTTAGTTGTTCCTTTTCAGCCCTTGGAATGCAGCTGTCTTGGAGTGGGCTGACTCCTATGTGAAGCCCCGAGGAGACCAAGTTTGAGTGTGTGGTACTGGGGCAGGAGGAGTGGAGAGGTCAGGGGTGGGGCTGGAGGGCGAAAGGCGGGCACTGAGTTACAGAGGTGGGGGTTCTGCAAGGAGGCCAAGAGCAGCTGAGGGGCTGGGCCACTATGGCTGCGGGGGAGGAGTGATGATGCCTACCTTGGAGGCTCCAGGCTGGATGGAGGTGATGCAGGCAGGGTCGATAAGGGGCTTGGGTCGGCGTGCTGACTCTTCAATCAGGCTCTGCCACTGGCGGGGCAGCCCTGTGAACTTCTGCTCGTGCTGGTCGAAGCCCGTGTGCACACGATGCTCAAAGTTGGATGGGGCCGAAATCTCCACCCGCTTCTTCTTCTTTCCAAACATGGTTCCAGAGCCCCAGCACGACAAGTGTGCAGCAGGCGGTTGGCCTGGGCTCTCACAGGCACCTGCGGGGGGAAGCACCAAGGGAGGTGGGACCAGAGGCAGGTGACCCGTCACCCAAACCAAACCACACCAGTTCTTCTCTGCCTCTGCCCTGATTGTGTTTCCCCCCCCCCTCTCTCTCCTCTCTCTCTCTCCACCCCCCCTTTCCTGAGTAGCTTCTTTGTTTTGTGGGTTCCTCTGTAAGCAAGCAGAGCACTAGTTCTTCACCTTCCTAGCACTTTGACCTTTAATACAGCTCCTCAACTGGGATGGTGGTGGTGGCAGTGGTGGTGGCGTTGGTGGCGCACACCTTTAATCCTTGTACACAGGAGGCAGAGGCAGGTGGATCTCTGCAAATTCAAGGCCAGTCTAAATATTGAGCTCCAGAACAGCCAAAGCTACTACACAGAGAAACCCTGTCTTGATAAACCAATAAACAGCCGGGCGGTGGTGGTACACGCCTTTAATCCCAGCACCCGGGAGGCAGAGGCAGGCGGATCTCTGTGAGTTCGAGACCAGCCTGGTCTACAAGAGCTAGCTCCAGGACAGCCTCCAAACCCACAGAGAAACCTTGTGGAAAAACAAACAAACAAATCAACAAACAAACAAACACAGTTTGTGGTAACTCCCAAGCATAAAATTATTTTTGTTGCTACTTCATGTAATTCTACGTAATTCTGCTGTAATGTAAATTTCCATGGTTTTCAGATGGTCTTGGTGACCCCTGTGTGTGACCCTAAGGTGTGCTGACCCACAGGATGAGCACCACTGAGCTACAGGGACAGGCCCAGCTGCCTCCTACTGATAGCTACAGCTAGAATCCTTCTTGTGGCCAGAGACCTCATACAGCCCATCCCATCACCTCCCGTTAGCTCCACACCTTTGCACAGGGACACTCCTCCCTATCATCCCCAGAGCTACCTCTCTCTCCTCCTTCAGTTAGCACGGAATCCTTTCCCAATCACACAGCCTGCTGGCCATCACATTACCTTCAGATGCCCTTAACCTGTGGGGAACCTGCTGTTGGTTCCTGTGTGTGGTGTCTTCTGTCACTCCCCCACCCCACTAATGCTAACAATGGCTAAACTAGCCCATCCACACAGTCTCCCGGTCAGCCCAGGGCCCTGCACAGTGTGAGCACAGTGTGAGCATGCCAGTGTGTACACTGAGCAGTACCCACCTCCAGTCTGGCTACCACAGCCAGCAGCCAAGGGCACATGGGATGCCCTACTGTGATCCACACTGTGATGTTATCCTATCTTTAGAGCTTGGGTCTTCAATTGGACACTTAATAGCAACTAACACAAATAAATGCCTTGAGCCAGGCATGGTGGTGCACGCCTTGAATCCCAGCACTCTGGAGGCAGAGGCCAGCCTGGTCTACGGAGTGAGGTCTAAGCTAGCCAGGACTACAAAGAGAGATCCTGTCTCAAAAAAAAGGGATGGGAAGCTGGAGAGACGGCTCAGCAGATAAGAGCACTGGCTGGAGCTCTTCCCAAGGACCAGGGTCCAACTCCCAGCACCCACATGGTGGCTCACACCTGTCTGTAACTGCGGTTCCAGGGGAATCTGATGCCCTCTTCTGACCTTTGAGGACACCAGGAACCAATGTGAGGCACCGGTACACATGCAGGCAAAACACCCATACACACAAAATTTAAAAACTAATATTTTTAAGAAAGTAAATTAAAAATAAATAACGCCAACAACAAAGGATCAAAGGGCAAGCCCAGCCAGGGGCATAGGCTGGCACCAATCCCTAGAATCCCAGCTACGCAGGATGCAGGAGGATGGCAAGTCCAAAGCTTCCCCTGGATGGAGAGTGAATTCAGGCTATTCTGGACTACTTGGTAAAGGGCCTGGGGCTGGAGCTCAGCAGCGGAGCCCCCACAGTACTCGGGAGGCCCTGGGCTCCATCCCAGCTGAAGGAGGGGATGATGGTGACAGAGAGCTCAAGAAATGACGGACTCCAGCCAGCAGCAGTGACACAAGTCTCCCCTTCCTCTGACTCTCACTGTCACCCTGAGAGTGACTGAGCCCTCCCTGCCCCTTACGCCAGAGCCCTGTAAGGAAGAGCCCTGTTGTCACACAGACCTGGTCTGAAGCTGGCTGGGCTAGAAACACCCTTGCGTGGGTGACGTCTCCTCCTGGGGCTTTGAGTTACTCATCTGCAAGACAGGAAGAAAAGATCCATCACTGATTCATTCACTAACACCCACTGTACCCTGGCTAGTGGGGGACATGATGACAACCTAGACAGCATACGACCCATTAAGCTGTCCACATAGGACGGACAGGCCAGTCCCTAGACAGTGACAGTGCTCCCTGGTAGGGACTGGGCTGACAAAGTGCTACCAGCCATGGAGGGATGGCTAAGGGGAGAATCCCTATAGGAGGTGTCCATGAGTGGAGGCCCAAAGGACCAAAGCATGTGGCAGGGGACTGCCATCTTCCTCCGACCTGGCTCCCCAGTACCTGACAGGGTGGAAGGCAGGCACAGGGCCAGTGCCCAGAGCCAGCCCTAGCGAGAGTCTGCTGGGGAAGTAGCTACAGACAAGAGTGCAGGGGACCCAGCCCAGTTCTCCCCACCTCCTGGCACAGCTCTCTTTCTTGGGGAGCCACCAGCCCAGTTCTCCCCACCTCCTGGCACAGCTCTCTTTCTTGGGGAGCCACCAGCCCAGTTCTCCCCACCTCCTGGCACAGCTCTCTTTCTTGGGGAGCCACCAGCCCAGCCCACAAGAAGGACATTAATGGGCAGGAAGCCAGGGAAACCGGTTTGGCAGTACAGCCAAGTGAGAGGCAGGTGGGGGGACTCAGCAGCCAGCCTGTCTCAACTGGTCCCAAGAGGCCAGCAGGTGGCCAGCCCTCTGCCTGGACAGGGCTTTCCCAGCTGGTCAGGTCCAGGGGTTCTCGAGAGTTGGGGCACCTGGGACAGAAGGGCATGTCTGGCTTCTAGCGTCTCTATGCTCCCTTCCTCCCAGCCTCTCCTGCCTGGCCCATCCCCGTCACCTTGACCTCTGCACCAAGGCTACCCAGCCTGGCTTCCCAGCCTTCCCTGGCTTCCCAGCACCTGTCTCTACAACCCCCACAGTGGCACACCTCATGCGGCCTGGCCTGGTACCGCGGCGTGGAGCCAGGTGCTGCGACCTGGGGCTCCCTGTCTTCTTCGTCTAGCTTGCTCCTCATCTTGAACTCTTGGCTCTGCTCTCGGCTCCCTCCTCCCACACCCAGACAGCCCCGAGGCAGCTCCCAGACTTGGAGAATGGGGGTGGTGGTGTATGTGATCTCTCATACACCTAGGGAGGCGCTCAGGATGGAAAAGGTGGGGGAGCGTGGGCAGTGCCTTCCCATGCTCCCACACAGACCCCCACTCATAACCTCCAAGCCCCCTTGCACACTGCAGTCCCTGTGACCCTGCAGGAGAAGGGCGGAAGGGCACACCTCCGGATATTTGCCTGGGCCACCCCTTCCTCTGGGCAGCATATGGAGGGAAGGACAAACAGAGGAACTGGCAATGTTTATAGTGACCTGGTGCAGGCCCCACCCAGGCCCTTCTAGGCAGCTCCTGACCTCGTAGGTTCAGAACTTCGGAGCCCAGCAGCTCAGGCCTCAGAACCCCACAAGACTGATTTCTGTATCTGTGAAAACCCAGCCCACAGCTCATGCCAGGAAGCTCAATGTGTGACCCCAGGGAAAGAGTCCACTTCATTCCTCAGTTTCCTCTTGTTAAGACGGTGATGACAGCAGCTGCTTCCGGCAGCTCTTACAAGGAGTCCCACAGAACACAAAACAAGCAAGGCACCAGGGCCTGGCTCAGAGCCACTATCACCGAAGCTAGGAATGAATGTTCAATGCTAGTCACAATACGACAGGAGCCAGCAGGAATGTGCACCTACTGTGTGCCACCTCTATGCTGAACAACTTCACCCAGCATCCCTCAATCTCTGCTCTGGACCCAGAAAAGGCCATGAACTCCATGCCTTAAATAAGGAAAACAAGGCACAAAGCCCGCCCCAACCACTTACCCAGGGGCAAAGCCAGGGGCAAAGGGTAGACATCAGTGTAGGCCACTTCTCCCAGAGCCTATGGCCCTCCCTCCTTCTAGTGCAGGCAGACCCTGTTCATGGTGCACAGTCCATGCCACCTGCACAGCCCTAGGACAGAAGCTAATCATCCCAGCTGTCCAGAAGGAGACAGACTCCAGAGAGAAACTCCCCTGGTCCAGGCACTCAGCCAATGAGAGGCTGCCAGGATTTGAGCCTGGGAAGGCGGGCACCAGAGGCTAGGCTTGGCCACCATGCTGCCTCTACCTCCCTGGCTGCAGACTTTGCTTTCCTCTCCTGTGCTGGCACTGCAGGGGCGGAACTGCACCTCCCACACAGCCTGTCCTGGTCCCTTGGGGAATGGGCTTCCTGGACCCTCCTCCCAGGGCCTTTGGTGAGACAGGTGACCATAGAAAAGATGCCTGAAAACTAGTCCCTGCCACCAAATGGACTCCATTCTGTTCTAGTGCTGACATGCCCATCCATCGCTACCATGAGGGAACCGTGGCCCTGGGAAGACACCAATCCAAGCCCCCTGGCTCCCAGAAACCTCAGGGCAGGGGCTATGTGAGCCGGTGTTGGGAGTACGTTGTTGGACCCTAGACACAATGGGGTGACTCGGTACCCACAGAGAAGACAAACAGATGGGGCAATGTGGGAGGCAGGGCCCCCCAGCCAGGACACACACACACACACACATATATATATAAAATGTTCCTTTTTCAAGACAGGGTTTCTTTGTGTGGCTCTGGCTGTCCTGGAACTCACTCTGTAGACCAGCTGGCCTCAAACTCACAGATCCACCTGTCTCTGCCTCCCTAGTGCTGAGATTAAAGAGGTGTGCCAAAACTATACTGTATTTTGAAATGCTTATTTCAGTTTTTTTTTTAATTCTTCAAATTGTGGGATATTCATGTTTTCCAGTTACCCCTTACACCCCTTGCTCCACTCCTAACCTTTCACGAGATGCAAATGCCTCCATCTCCCATACTGTCAAAAGGAATGAGCTGCCAGCTCCAAAAGAGTTGCCTGTGTCTCAGGGTACCCTCTGCTTTCTTTCCAGGACCAAGGTGGCAATGAGGGTGGGGTCTGGTTCCTGCCTTCTTGAGCCCATTTCCCCCCACAGTCAGCTCTGTCAACCCACCGCTCCCACCTACGCAATCTGAAGGTGCCCCACTCTCTCCCTTTGGCCCCACTTCTTCCAGGGAGTCCTTGGGACTCCTCCTAGATGGCCCCTGGTTCCTCCTCACCAGACCAACCCCTGACTCCCCCGTCACAAGTGACCTGTCATAGCTACTGGGCCTTCCCCTACCTATAAGCTCATTTGAGTGACAACTGAGGGGGAGTCTGCCCAGCCCACAGCTCTGTAGTGTTGCTGCAGGGTTCACACTGGGGAAAGGTGGCTCTCAATAAACCAAGGTGGCAGGAACTGTCAGTCAGGCCCACTGCATGAGGCCTTGTCCAAAAAGGACCTGTGCTCTGGAAGAGAAGGGGTAAAATAAGTCAGGGCAAAGGTTCTGAGGCAGGCACTTTCTGGATATAGCCAAGGGGTCCTGATGGCTGCAGATGGCCAGGCGAGGGGACAGTTGGGTTAAACAACACAGGCTGGTACTTGGGCAAATGGGATGGAGGCTTGTGGGCCACAGCCGGGGCTCCATCTTTGAGTGGAGCTGCAGGAAGAGTTTAGGTGGAGAGGGGTGGGAACAGGGAACCAGGCGGACGGCTGGACAATCCAGCAGGAGATAAGATGGACAGGACCCCTGGGGGCTGTGCCAGGGCACGGGATGTGAACTCTCCAGGCCCGGCTTGCTCGGCACAGCTTACCCTGGCATCTGGCTGGGCCCACTGGCCTCTCCTCCATCCACTCTCGAGTGTTCACCACCCACGAGCATAGGCAAAGCTTATGGTCTGCTGCACTGGTGGCTCACACAGCTGGAGCTGTGCCAGGCGCACAGACAGGAACTGGGTGGTGGGGAATCCTCTTCCCTAAACCAGGAAGCTGAGGTCCACAAAGGTGAAATCAACTGCCCAAGGCCACCTAGAGCCAGGTACAAAAGTCCCCAACTCTGGCCCCAGCTCCACCCAAGGCCTCCACTCCACAAGAAGGACCAAAGGGTCTACGGGACGAGAGCAGGGGGCAGAGACAACTGTTGACAATGACCAGACCTAAGAGCCGAGAGGCTGCTATGAGGAGAGAATGTGACTCCAAGGGTGATCACACAGTCCTACCTGCTAGAGACCTGAGCATCTCACACACCTGTCCCCTCCCTTCGCCGTCCTCCAGTCAAGCCATCCAAATCAGATACCATGAACACTTATCATAGCTTTGTATCTACAGTGCCTTCTGCTCAGAACTGTCTGCTCACTTTTTTGTTCATTTGTTTTGTTTTTTGAGACAGGGTTTCTCTGTGCAGCTCTGGCTGTCTTGGAACTCACTTTGTAGACTAGGCTAGCCTTGAACTCACAGATATCTGCTTCTTGAGTGTTGGGATTAATGGTGTGCATCACCACGTCCAGATCCTTGAAAGTCTGTCAGATTTATCTTTCTCATTCTTAGTGGTCCTTCTATGGATATCTTCCTGCTAGAAGGACAGCCCATTAGCACAGAGCCTGTCTCTTTGGTCACTGCCCATTAGCACAGGGCATCTCAGTACAGGGCTCCGTGAGCCTACAAGCAGACTGCCCAGACCCAGGTGCTAGCTTGGCCACTCCAGCTGTGTGTCCCTGGACAAGTCATCTATCCTCTCTGGACCTCAGTGTTGACAGTCCCTGCCTATTGGGAGCATTCAGATGGCACAAGTCAGGTATACAGAATCAGGATGGTCATGGTCCCTGCTACTGCTACTGCATGAGAAGACTGAATGAGCACATAGCTAGGACACTGGTCACAGTCACGCACCCCCCCCATCATACATGTGGCAGTGTTACCTTCCCCAGGATTGGGGTTGGGGAACAAGACGGGCTACAATGATAAACCAAACAAGTCCACGGACAGACAGACAGATGTGCGAGGCATGCAGATTCATGCAGTCACCCTGAAAACCCCTGAGTAGCTGGAGCCCACAGTCACCTACCCATCACCACCTCACAGCATCCTGAGCAGCCGTCATGGAGCATGAGCAGCGGCTGGGCCAGAGCTTACCTGGAGCCCGCTAAGGT